GGGTCCCCAATATAGTACGGCACCCTTATAAAAAGGACCCTAAAAGGGACCCCAATTTAGAGAACTACCCACATACCCTACACCCAGGGCCTGTCTTAGCTCGACCGGACCGGGCCTTTTCCACCGTGCCAGGGCCATGGCTTCTTTGCTTAATTTTGGGTTTCAGGGCCTGGGGCGTTTGGGGGTTTTAGGGCTTAGAGTTTTAGGGTTGAGGGTTTTCGGATTTAGGAATTTAGGATTTGGGGCTTTCGGATTTTAGGGTTTAGCGTTTAGGGTTCAGGAGCTGAGGTCAGAGTCTTTCGTGTTTGTGCTGCTTGTCCTTGTGAGCTTTGTGGGCGTGTGCACGCGTTTATGCGTGTGTTGTGTGTTGCGTGTGTCTGCAGGTGGGTAGTTCTCTAAATTAGGGTCCCTTTTGGCGTCCTTGGTCTAGTTTTTGGGCTTGGGGGCTTATGGCGTGCGCTGCATCTCTTGAAGCATGGATTTGCGGCTGAAGTTAAGGGTAGGTGGGGTTTGTGGGCCTAGATGGGCCTAGGAATTGAGGTATATATAGAGTTTACTGTTCAGGATGTGATGCTCAAGGTCGTGGTGATGGTTCTAACTTGAGGGCTAAGGGTTCGGGAGGGAGGTGGGAGTCCGATAGGTGCGTGACACGAGGCCGAAAGGTTTAGTCTGCAGCGGTCTTGGACTTTAGTTGACAGGGTGGTTGAGGTTTCGACTGAAGGGGAGGAGCTGGATTTATGCAGGTTCAACAAAAAGGCCTAAGCCTAAACCCACAGTTAAACCGCCAAGCCCTTAAACTAAACCCCACACTCGTCCCCGTGAAGGGCTTACGGTCAATTAGGCCCAGCCAGATCCTTAAACCGTATTCCCTCAAACTCTGAGGGTTAAGCGCCGATTTTTGTTGTACGAGGGTAGTCACAAATCGCCTTGTAGCTTTTGCAGGCGGGTCTCTTTTCTAGGCTGTAATGTAGATAGATGAGGACCCCTGATATCAAATTGATCTACAGGCCACACAAATTGCGATTTCGGAGGTCATTCTGATTGCATTAACTTTGGGATGGCCTAAATACTGTTTTTGGGGGTTCCTGTTTATGCTTATAGTATAATGGCCCCTATATTATGTCGATCAGGAAAGTGCACCTGAAGATGTATCGCGCTGGCTTGACGTCCCCTATGGGTACGGCGCATCATCTTTCTTAAGCCGGGGGCTCATCTGTTTATCATCGAAAAAATGCCGACGGCACTGAGATTGCAATAATATACATACGGGCCTAAATAATTAGAATAGGGTTTTGGGGTATATTATATTATAACTATAATAAGCAACCCTCAAAACCCTATTCTAATTATTAAGGCCCCTATATTCTGCGAGCATTTTTCCGCATGTCTCAGCTGCTTTCCAGAAGTAACGCTGCAATCGCCTGCTCGTAGCCTGCCCGAGACACGTCTGCTTTCCGGTACCAGCTTAGGGTTTAGGGTTTAGGGTTTAGGGTTTAGGGTTTAGGGTTTAGGGTTTAGGGTTTAGGGTTTAGGGTTTAGGGTTTAGGAGGGTTTTGCTAAGTTGTCCTTTAAGCCCTCTGAAAATTATTTACTATTATGGTTCTCTACAAAATAGTAAGGGAAATTAAAAAAGATCCCAAAAGACAACTCAGTTTGGGTTTATGTCAAATTTTTTGCAACGAAGGCGGCTGTAGAAGGGGGTTCTTGACTCTGCTTGTCCCGCAGAGCCCAGCCTCCTACAAAGCAGGATACAGGGGCTTATGTGACGTAATTTGCACCATATAGTTTCTTTTATCGAGTCTCAGGAACCGTAACCACTGTAAAGATGAGTGTGTTGACAGGGTACAAACCGGCCTAAAAGAACAGTAGAACAGAGTAGTACGGAGTACTGCTGCACTACATACTTAACAAGGGTTGATGGTTATCCATTACCCTAAACCCTTACTGTCTACCAGGACCCCCAACAAAATCTCTGCAATAGAGCCATTATGGTCCGTAATAGTGGGCGTGTGGGGTAGAATAGAAGGCACTTGGGGGGTCTAGTTGCACCCCCTAACAAGTTTCGGTTTCTAACCTGAGGGCGCCACACACCCTTTAATTATAATGCTCAGGGGCTGAGTACCCTAGCCAAACGTTAGCTTTTAGATTATAGTAGGACCATAAGCCCCAAAAAAGCTAAAGGTTACCAGAGCGTGGGCCGCAGGCGGCGATAGAGCTGAACCATGGGGCTTATAGTAGACCCTATAAAGTTGGAAACCGGGTTGAGGACAAATTGTGCTGGGATTCCCTATACAGTACTCTTAAGGATTGAGCTTATTGGGTTTCCACCTTTTGGGCTTCTACTGTAGGGTCCAACTACCCTCTATGATACCCCTAAATACCCGCTCTTCAGGACCACAAGGGCTCTATTAGAGGGCCTGTCCCAGAGAGCCCAAGCACCCTTTGATTGAGGAATATATCTTAAATCAGAATATCAAGCCCCTAGACCCTAAACACTAAACCCCTACACCCCCTAAACCCTAAACCCCTAATTGGGGACCACGACGGCTCTATTAGAAGGCCCTTGAACCCCAAGCTTCCAGACCAACGCCCTGGCAATGCCTGTTTACTTCGTGTCGGTTTAGGGTATCATAGGCTTCAGGGGTTTAGGGGTTTAGCGTTTAGGGGTTTAGGTTACGGCGGTTAGGGTTCAGGGTCGTTTCTGTTTAAGGGGCGTACTTGGAGGGTCCGGGGACTTAGCAAGCAGCTATTTCATAGAGTTATAAGTATCACAACCCAATTAGGATCCCTATTTGGGTACTTATAAGTCTACTTATTACCCACTTAGTAAGTCGCCCGACCCTCCAAGTCGGTGTATACTCCGGTTTACGGAACTTCCATGAAGCTATGAGTTCAGGTGTTCGGGGCTCACGGTTTCAAGCCGACGGTCGTCTTGGAACAAGTGTCTACTAATGTGATAAGCGGCCGTCCATGTGAACCCAAACTCCTAAACCCTAAACCCCACACCCTAAACCCTAAACCCTAAACCCTAAACCCCCAAAAGCCGTAACACCAAAACATGAACCCAAAACTGACGGTGCGAGAAGCTAACATGATGACCGGAAGCAAATCAAGACTCGTAAACGCGAACATAGGGCTTAGGGTTTAGGGAATAAATCACATACGAACCTATCGGCACCTCATTAAGGCACCCTGGATCTTTACTGAGTTCTTAATATGCATCCTAATACTTCGGGGCTGTGAGTGATGAGGGCAGGGTTTCCTGATCGGGTTCCTACAACTTAACAGGCTTTTCGGGTATGCCATAGTGAGACTACAACAAAGAACCCCAAGGAAGTCTTATAAGGTCTCTGCATTCAGCCTAGGGTAGTGGGCATGCCCAAGCCTTTCATTAGCCACTGCGGACAAGTCATAAAAGCCCTAATCCCTAAACCCTAAACCCAGAGCCCGGACTTACTTCAAGCTGTGGGCATCCGCGGGGTGACTCTATCAAGTGAACAGCGTCCAATGCTGGCGGTCGTGATTCTGAAAGTCACTCTAAGCATCCCAAGAGAGCATGGAAGGTTGTACATGGGGCTTAGGTTCGCGTCGAGTGCTTTACGGTGGTAAGATGGAGGCCCTAAACCTTAAACCCAAAACCACTAAACCCTAAACTCTAAACCCTAAACCCCAAAGCCCTAAAACCCCAAAACCCTAAACCCTAAAACCCCTAAACCCTTAGAGGCTTCGGGGATCACCCCAGCAGGATCTGGGTTGAACTGCTCAGGGCTACGTCTTCTTGTGCAAACTTCTTCTTACCTGAACCCGGCGCCTTCAAACATAAGCAGATACTTGTGGGGTTTAGGGTTTAGGGTATAGGGGTTTAGGGTTTAGGGGTTTGGGTTTAGGGTTTAGGGGGCTGTCACTGTTACAAGGATAAGAAAAGATCATGAAAGACATCCGCGAAGCTTGTTTAGTAGCTACATTGGCAATACTTTCGTACACCCTGCAACCCACGAAGCGACGGCCAATCGCAAATCCTACAACTCCAAACCATACACCTCCCATAAACCCTAAACCCTAAACCCCTAAACCCTAAACCCTAAACCCTAAACCCCTAAACCCTAAACCGTGACACTAGAGGTCACCTAGTCGCGGCGCGCCGGCCTTCGGCTGGCAGCGTCTGCCCACCGTCCAGTCGGCGAAGATCTCCATCCTGCGCTGGATGAAGGGAGCTTCTATGTCCCTTTGTGAATAAATTCGGGTCCATGTGGGTCGTTGTCAAAATTATGGTCCCTTTTTGGGTCCTTACTCTAATACGGCACCTATTATTTAGGGTAATTACCCCACAAGGGACCATAATTTTGACAACTGCCCATGTGTCTATATGGTGCATGCTTCAGCCGTGTAAGGGTTCCCACAGACGATGAAAGGGGAGGATATGTTAAATTTTGGCTAGGTTTCCCTCACATCTTGAAGCCTGAGCTGTAAAGCCAGGAAACCCACCAGAAATTTAGGATGTATATGGCGTAGGGTTTAGTGCTCTGGGTTTGGGGCTGAAGCTTGGGGTTTAGGGTCTATGGTTTCGGGTATATGGTTTAGGTTTTATGGTCTATGGTGTTGGGTTTAGGGCTCAGGATTTATTGTTTATGGTTTCGGGTTTACGGCTTGGGGTTTGTGTTTTTTTGAGAGGGGGTGTTGGGCTTACTGTTTAGGGTTTAGGGTTCGGGGATATGTTCAGGAGACAAGTCCAACACACACATGTGGTCTGCCATCGCCGGTCCAGACGACCGGGGACACCACCTCGAAGGTTCTCATCAAGCCCTAGCAGCTCTCGATCTTACAAACCAAAACTAAAGCTTACGAAGTATTGAACCGCCCCAACTTCCAACACCCCGGAGCACTGAAACCCTAACAGCCTTGAGCCCCAAATTCCATGAAAACCAAAGCCCTAAACCCTAAACCCTAAACCCAAACCTATTTACAACTAAAGCCCCCCAAAACACTCAACCCCCGCTGTCCACAGCAGAGAGCACACGTGCGTCCCCAGCACTGCAAGCCTGATAGAAGTACTTGGAGGTTCATGGATAGTTATAAGTGGGGTTATAAGTTCCCGAATATGGGTTATAAGTATAGTTACCCCACTTATAACCCACTTATAACTACCCATGAACCTCCAAGTAGGGAAACATGTTCCCGGTAGTCTCCATTTTCGGTTCTGTTGTTCAGACTCTGTGTGGGAATTGTAGGGTCTCAACCATCAGAGCGGTTAGTCTAAGCAAGGCATACCTGTGGAGACTACAGGTATCTTAAGAGCCCCAAACCCACTTGTTTGTAGGTTCTTGTTAAAATCCCTAATATAGGATTTATAGGGACCCTACAAAAAAGTAGGTTTTGGGTTCCTAAGGTAGGGACCATGCTTAATTATTCTTTCTCTGTGTTGAGGTTTGGGATGCCAGGTGCAGGGTCTACGACCTAGAGCCGTAGGATTTCAGACTTAAGGGCGTTGGGTTCCAGGGTTTTGGGTCTCATAGGGTGTAATTGACCCTAAACCCTAAACCCTAAACCCTATAAACCCTAAACCTATTGACGGTCTTAGGGTTTAGGCTGTAAAGCTTAATTTGACGGCGTAAGGTCTGAAGGGGCCCAGTGGGGTTCTGGATTTCGGGCTTGGGTTTGTTTGTTTTGCGTTTTGCAGCTTGGTGGGTCTATAGACGGTTTTAGTTTTTAGGGTTTAGGGTTTAGGGTTTAGGGTTTAGGGTCTATAGATAGAGTGTGTTGCCATGAAAGCCATGTAGGGCTGATATGAGGATTCGAGATAACGCTGCTTTCCGGCTCGGATGTTACGGCGCGATGTTGCCCACTGCAGGGCTGGGAGCAAAGATGTTGGAGAGGACTTGCATGTATTTCGGGTTAATTGCCTGCCCGATGAGCGCCAGCCGGGTAACACAGGATTTATATCATCAACCGTACTACGGAATTAGGTCCCCACAACTATAATAGGGATGGTCTTTCGGGACCGAATTCCATAAAGGTAATTAGTCAGTGTATATGGATCCTCCGGGTCAGAAGCGAATCAGATTGGTGCAAACGTCGTTGTGCCTGCTGAAAAGGACGTTCACGGTGTGGGTTTAGGGTTTAGGCTAGGCGTTCGCAGTCACCCGGTTGTCCAGACCAGGATGAGTCCCATTCGCGACCATAGCTGCGCGGGTGCTGAAGGCATTCCGGCGGCAGCTTGTTTGGCGATACGTTCGCGATTTTTCTCAAGGCGCTTGGCCTTGATGTGCCGGTTTGCTGCTTCATACAGAATTTAAAGTCATAGGACTTTTCTTTCGTCCCGTCCAAGGCCCTCTCGTAGATCGCGATCTCAACAGCAGGAGGTACCGACAGCACACTGCCATTGACAGAACCCAAAGGAATGTGGAACTTAGGGTTTAGAATGTTGAAAGGTCTACCTTAGAGCAAAAAGATCCAAGAGTCCTGAGCCGCTAGGGTTTAGGTTTAGGGTTTAGGGTTCAGGGTTCAGGGTTTAGGGTTTAGGGGGGTTTAGGGTTTAGGGGCTACCTAGAGGCTCAAAATGACCCGAAAGCCGTATATCAGATAGTCTTTGCGCCCGTATGCACACAGCTACAAGTAGCTGCCGCAGACTCCACCAATGCAAGAATGGAAGCCCTAAAAGAACACCCTCAAAGGGTACAATAGGGTTCTGTAGTAGGGTCTCCTTTAAAGGTAACTATGGGGCTCTATGATAGGGTTCCCTTTAAAGGGGTTTAGGGTTTACCTGCATCCCAAAATAACCGACCTCTTTAAGGACTTCGATAAGGAAATCATGATAATGAGTTTAGGGTTTAGGGTTTTACCCTTAACCCTAAGCTCCAACAAGGAAGGTTTAAAAGGGTCCAGGTAGGGATCGTGTAGGGGTGTAGATTGGAGAGTCATTAGGACCTGGGTGCTGGTCTTTGCATAATGTCGGGGCCATAATTGGATAAACTATACTATACTTCAATTTGACAAGGAGCCCTGAAAAAACTAGAATAGTTCTATGAAACTTGACTTCTGCAATAGCAAGGACCCTAAACCCTAAACCCTAAACCCTAAACCCTAAACACAAAGTACTCAGGTTCCTAGATTCACACCCGGCCCCTCAGGGTTCGAGGACCGAAGAGTCATAGAATCTCCCAAAGACCAAGCGACATGCTGTTGATGATATAGGGTTTAGGGTTTAGGGTTTAGGGTTTAGGGTTTAGGGTTTAAATCCTGCATTACCTTATAAGGGCCTTAAACTATAGGAATTATGGTATGTTCCTTATTATGGGTAATGCAGGATTTATATCATGAACTGCAACTAGGGTTTAGGTTTTAGGGCGTACTATCCTAAACCCGAGTACCGAACTACTGGGTCCTTTGGACTCTTAGGGCTTACCCATGAACTCTAAAGTAAACCTTAAACCCTAAACCGCTAAACCTGGCAGTAGGATTACAGGGACGCTGGGGATATAGACCCCCTCAATAAGGTCCCTTTTGAGAGAGCCATAAGTATGGTTGAGAAGGGTCCCCTTTGAGGGGGTCTCCCCAATACTACCTAGGATATACTATGCTGGTTTATTTCGGTAATCCTCCCTAAACTTGGAGGTTCATGGGTAGTTATAAGTGGGGGTATAAGTCTCCTAATATGGGTTATAAGTATAGTTACCCCACTTATAACCTCAATTATAACTACCCATGGACCTCCAAGAACGCTAAACCCCCTAAACCCTAAGCCCTAAACCCTAAAACCGAAGCCCTAAACCCTAAACCCTCTTAGGAGCCTCAAAGCGCAAGGCCCCGAGAACCCTGGAGAGCTAAGGCTTCCCACCGTCCATCCACGTCCCAACATGTAGCGCCTCAGATTTAAGGGTTTAGGGTTTAGGGTTTATAGGGTTAGAGGGTTATAGGGTTTAGGGTTTAGGGTTTTGGGGTTTAGGGTTAGAATATTTTTGGGTTTGGGTTTTTTTGGGGGTTTAGGGATAGAGGGTTTGGAGTTGGAGAGTTCAAGAGTCTCGAGGTTGAGCTCTGCCGATTTAGAGTGTATATTAATGGCTCCAGGATGATTGTTTTACCCTAAACCCTAAACCCTAAACCCTAAGTTGTTGAGAGCCTGCCAAACACGATCGAGCCTCTCGGAGGTGCAGTTGAGGATATAATATAAAGCCTGCCCTGCCCATAATAAGGAACATAGGGTTTAGGGTTTAGGGTTTCCCAGAATAAGGAATATGCCCATAATTCCCATAACTTAGGGTCCTTAAGGTAATGCATGCTTTATATATCATCAACAGTAATACGGAGCACTGTGACAATCCTTAGGAGGCAGGTAGTCGGTGTTGCGGGGTGTAAAGGGTTTCGGGTGTAGGGATTAGGGTATAGGGTTTGGTGGATTTTTCAGGGTTCCAGCTTTTAGGGGCACGGGGACTGGTTCTTATGTCAGCCAGGGCGCATGTAGTCGCAGCGGGCAAGGGCATAGTGGCCCAGCAGCAGAGTGAGGGGAAAATCCTGGGTCTCTAGGCTTCCACAGATGTCTTTCATAAGAAATCTGCACCCTGACACATAAACTCCGACATGGTCTCAAATATTCACCGTCCCTAAACCCTAAACCCCAAACCCTAAACCCAAACCCCTAAACCCTAAACCCTAAACCGTTCCTACTTCTTCACATCTTCACCGAAGCTCAAACATTTCAAAGGCCCTACACTCTTACTCGCGGGTCCGCAAGGCACAAGTATATGGACTGGGATCTTTTAGTTTAGGGTTTAGGGTCTGAGGTGTGGTGCTTGAGGTTTCATACGAGAGCGGCTCATGAGGTGTTCTATACTTACTACTGTCATCCGCTATTGGCTTCATTGATCCTTACTTCCCCAATACGCCAAGGAAACAAAATGTTAAACTTTCAGATTACTACGAGATTCTAAGAACCCAAAAAATTTGAAGTTTCACTTTTGAGGCTCTTTCTTTAGGGTGCCGTGCTATATTGCGGGGGTCCAAAAAAAGGAGCCCTAATTCAGAGAAGCCCTAAACCCTAAACCCTGTAACCCTAAACCCGAAAACCCAAACCCTAAACCGCCCATAAATCAACAACAATGTCAGGGCCAAGGTTGCTAGGGGTGCCCCAATTTTAGGGTTTAGGGTTAGGGGTTTAGGAGTTTAGGAGTTTAGGAGTTTAGGGTTAAGGGTTTAGGAGTTTAGGGTTTTAGGAGTTTAGGGTTTAGGAGTTTAGGGTTAAGGGTTTAGGGTTTAGGGTTTTAGGAGTTTAGGGTTTAGGAGTTTAGGGTTGTAAAATCCTCAAGCCAAAATGTTCTTGGGACCTGCTTCCAACACGAAATGTTAGGACCCTAAACCCTAAACCCTCAATCCAGGGCCCAGATCCTATAAACCCTGCATTTCTGATAAGGGTACCATTCAAGCAGGCTCCTTGGGCATGACATCGGCCTTCATGATCAAAAAAAAGTTTTGGTATACTCTGAAAATACAGAACAATACTGAGAGGCCTAGGGGACTTAGTAAGTCGGTTGTAAGTAAGTAGGGTTATAATTGGGGTAACTCCAGTTGGGGCACTTATAACTCTACTTATAACCTACTTACTAACTCCCCTGGACCTCCAAGTAAGGACTGGGATTGGAAACTAGGCGAGCCCTGCCCATCGGGAGCAAAACCGATAAGGTTTCAGGGCCCTAGAGTACATGTACGGGTTTAGGGTTTAGGGTTGGGGTTTAGGTTTAGGGTGGGGGGTTTAGGGTTTAGGGTTTAGGGTTTCAGGTTTAGGGTTTAGGGTTTGGGGTTTAGGGTCGCTCTGTGCCGGACACATGGAGTCTAGAATGTCCACAAGCCGTACTGTACCCTTAGCCACCCGCGAAGCCTATCCTTAAGACAACGACTTATGCAAGGAACTAAACCCTAAACCCTAAACCCTAAACAACTCATGATCCAGGAACCGCTAAACACAACACCTCTGTCGTTCGGAGAGGCCTAGTGCCTCTACGCTCCATGCAAACCTGTCTTTTCGGTGTAAGCCGGAAACCCCACACCGTGTATAATCCCTGTTCTGGGGGGATCTTGAATCTGCTGAAGAGCTCCCGTGAACTACAACAACCTATTTTTTCGGTTTAGGGTTTAGGGTTTTAGGGCTCAGGCCCCTACAAGTTCTACATGATGGATGGCAATAAGAACCTGCAACAACCAAATAGGGGTTAGGGCTTAGGGCTTGTTTAAGGTTCACGGCTGTGGCGACTGCCTGCCAGCAGAGAAACAGCGGGAAGCGATGTCAAGCTGAATTGCCTGCCAAGCTTTGCAACCGTGTCCTTTGGTCCGTCTTCACATACGGACGCCCCTGATCTGCGTCGGTTTCTGCCTCAACCAATCCCTGCTCCACAAGCTTTGCTCGAAACTGCTTCGCATCCATCAGGGCCTCTTGCAAATGCCGAGCCTGCATGGACAGCGGAGTGAACGTTTTGGATCTTTTCCGCTTCTTGAGTTGCCCATCCGTCCCCTGTTCCAACCATGTGACCCTCCAGCGGCCAACGCCTCGGTCCGGTCGATCTTCCCAACCGGACCTCACGGCAGAGCGCCAGCTTCTGCAGAAGCACCCGAAGCTCCTGGATGTTATATCCGTCTCAGTTCAATGGTGTGCCTGTTCTTGGCTTCGCCAATTCTGCTGCTGTGGCCTTACAATCAAGACTTTGAAGTAACCAAGGAGAAAAAGTACAAACGTTTATTTGATAATGGTTCCTTTAAGGAACAGGTCCCTAAAAAACGTACTAAAGTATGCTACTCCAAAGCCCAGCAATAGACGCTTGACTGACCTTCCCCGCTAGATGAGGTGTGAGAAGATGGATCGCCTTCCCTGGGCCCATGCTATGTTTAGCCAAACCTGGGGGCTCATATACCCTGGACCCTAAACCCTAAACCCGATACATACGTGTATATACAAAAGGATCTGGCGATCTTATGGCTTGCGCTCTGTAGTCTAACCTTGCATGAGCAGGCCAAGAGGAAACCAGCAGTTAGGGTTTAGGGCTTAGGGCTGAGATCCCCGGCGCCGCCGGTGCCGAATTCTTCGAAAGCAATCATCAGCTGGGCCTCGCTGTGCAAATTAGACTTGGAGTGTTGCGGCAGCAGAGATATAAAAGTTTAGGGGGCAGGGCCGTGTAGAGGTTTATTTAGGTCAAGGTGTAGCAGAGTCAAAGATTGGGTCGCCCCTAAACCCTAAACCCTAAACCCTAAACCCTAAACCCTAAAACCCTAAAACCCTAAACTACCCCAACCTTAAACCTAAAACTCCGAAGCACTGGACCCCAACAATACCAGCCCTGATCCCCTAAACCCTCAACCCCAGCACTGAAGCTCCTCTACTGGACCATGGTACTAGGGTTTTTTGGGGGCTTTTGGGGGTTTAGGGGTTTAGGGTTTTGGGTTTTAGGGTTTAGGGTTTCGGGTTTAGGGTTTTGGGGGTTGTAGGGATGTAGGGTTAAGTGGGTTTAGGGTTGAAGGGTTTAGGGTCTAGGGGTCTCTGGTTTAATTTAAAGTGTTTCGGGGTTTAAGAGGTTTAGGGCTTAGGGTCTACACCTTACAAAACGTCGGATAAACCCGGTGAGCAGCTTCGAAGGCTAGCTGGACTCCCTGCCCTACTAAACCCCAAACCCCTGAAACCCTGAACCCCAAGCCCATACGGGCTGAACACCTACACAGTCTGCACGCCTAAACCCAAACTACTGACTAGACTCTAGACACTACCATAAGTCTCGGACATTTTCAGGTGGGGAGTTTGGGGTATATGGGGCTCCTATAAGGCTTCTACCTATAACGGCAACTACCATAAGGGCATGCAGCCAGTCCTCCCCCGCTCCCACTCCAGCCGCCCCCCCTAAACCCTAAACCCTAAACCCTAGACCCCTAAACCCAAGACCTCTAAACCCTAAACCCTAGACCCCTAAACCCTAAACCCCTAAACCCCTAAACCCTAAACCCCTAAACCCCCAAACCCTAAAGTTCTCCCCCCCCCCCTCCCCCCCGGGCGCAAGGCATGGTAGAAAGAAAGAAGGTCGGACTCCATGGACAGAAGGTCCTCTTGCTTGGAGGGTCGGGTTCTGGGATTCGGGCTTAGGGCTTAGGGTTTCAGGGTTTTGGGTTTAGGGTTTTAGGGTTTAGGGTTTCAGGGTTTAGGGTTTAGCAAGTAGTTATTGTAGAGAGTTGTTTAAGTATCATACCCAATTAGAATCCCTTTTAGGGTACTTGTAAGTCTACTTATTACCCACTTACTAAGTCCCCCGACCCTCCAAGTGGGGTTTGTCCCAGCCCAATACCCCTAAATTAAGGAGTCTACCTTAAATGATAATAATAAGCCCCTCATAGTTTTAAGGTATATGGCTTAATTAAGGGGTATTGGGCTCTTGTGGGTTTGTAGGGTTTAGGGTTTAGGGGCTTCGGGTTAGGGCTTGTAGGGTTCTGGGTTTTAGGGCTCCTTTAAGCTTACTTCCGCAATAAGCCCGGGAAGTAAAAGGTGAAATTTTCAGGTTACTACTAAACCCTAAACCACCCTAAAACTATAAGAACCCAACAAGTTTAAAGGTTGGGTAAAGGGGAACTAAGTCTTGGGGTTTGTGGGGTTTATGGACTTAAAGCTTCAAGGGAAGGGCTGTAGGCAAGGTGGAAGGTACAGAGCTTCGGTCTAGGGCTCTGGGTTTTGGGTCTGGGCGTTTCGGTTTAAGGTTTAGGGTTCAGGGTTTAGGACTTTGGGTTTAGGTTTAGGGCCATAGTGTCAAGGTATTAAAGACAGATCCTAGAATCCCTGGTGCCAATCTTTGGCCAAAAGCTGCCTGCGCCCGCAGGTGACATCCCGCAGACCCAGCCCGACCCCTTTCACTGGGCCGGACAACGAAGCCCGTCCAGCGTCTGAACGCGCGAGAGCGTATTAACTAAAACTCTAAAGACTTCTAGCTAAGGCTTCAGAAATTGAGATACTATTCTAAGCCCTACACTCCTAAACTGCTCAGGTTTCGAGTTGGGGGTTAAGGCTATGGGGTTGCCCTCAACCCTAAACCTTAAGTAAACCCATCCTAAACCTTTCTCTCAAACACTTCCGGCCAAAATAAACAGCCATGACTCCATGACAGGGTTCAGGGCTGTACAGGGATTACGGTTTGGTTGGTGTAGGGTTTTAGGGTTTAGGTTTTAAAAAGCTGGGGGGGGTGGGGGTTAGGGTTGTGGGATTGGGATGTTCCGCGCTTAGGGTTTAGAGGTGACCTTGGCAACCCTAAACCCTAAACCCTAAACCCAAAACCCTAACCGCATCTTCCTGGCTGAAAGGCTTCTAGGTACTGTTATGGGGGATACTTTCCCAAATCATAGTGGCAATTCCTATTATAGGAACCCTACATTCTACTATATAGGTACTTAGGACCCTTTAGGTGGGAGAGTTGGCTTGGGTATCAAATTGCGTGGTGGGGCGTCTTCCGCGGGATGTCCTGGTCCCGGTCCGGTCTAGTAGGTCGTCTACTAGGGATTGGGGTTCAGGGTTCAGGGTACAGGGT